GTGTGTGTGTGTGTGTGTGTGTGTGTGTGTGTGTGTGTGTGTGTGTGTGTGTGTGTGCTCAAAACACATAAAATTCTGCTTTTGTTCCTGTTTTCAGATTAACAATCCAGACATGAGAGTGCAGATTCTGAAAGACTTTGTTAAGCATCATTTTCCTTCAACTCAGCTACTAGACTACGCTCTGGATGTAGAGAAAATCACCACCTCCAAGGTACATCACCTCATAAAACCCTCACCTATACCACTAATGCTTTATTCAGTCCATTTTAAATCTGAAATAAAATATGTGTAACAGTAAGCCCAATTAGAACTGTAACATTATGTTACATCTTCCTTCAGTGTCTGAGGAGCATGGGACGGTGTGGAAGTTTTTTTGTGTGTGGGTCTCAATTCATGYGGAAATTTGCTTCTTTTGTGTCGTTTCACAAGCAGAAAACTAAATTTGATGATCTTTTTATAGAAACCTAACTTGATCCTAAACGTAGATGGTTTCATTGGCGTTGCCTTTGTGGACCTGCTCAGGACGTGTGGAGGCTTCACACGGTAAGAAAATCAGACAATTACTATGGACTCTTGAGGGAAAATGTCTTTTTTTATGTCTTCTATACAAAAATACTGATGTATATTTTATTTTTCATTTAAAAAAAATCACTTTTTCTGTATTGTTTCTCCCATAAATGTATTTCCGGTTCCAGAGCAGAAGCAGATGAGTTTATTGAAATCGGTGCTCTGAATGGGATCTTTGTCCTGGGCCGTAGTATGGGCTTCATCGGTGAGTCCCACTTCAACTCAGCAACGAGTTCACCTATCCGGGTGAGATAAGACCTTCTAACGTGTGTGTTTTCATCAGGGCATTACTTGGACCAGAAGAGGCTGAAGCAGGGTCTGTACCGCCACCCGTGGGAYGACATCTCCTATGTGCTTCCTGAACACATGTCCATGTAAGCCCGACATCGCGGGACGACTCTTGGCTTCCAGATGTGATGTTTGGCAGCAGCTCCTCAGTTCAGTCAGAACAGCAGCTGCTGCAGGGGGAAACCAAACCGAAGTATTCTGGAAAGAAGTTATTTTACGTTTTAAGGAAGAAAAAGGGGAAGTATATTTTTAGATTTAGTTTTTGACTAGTTATTTAAAAACTTAGAGGGGTAACTTATTCATTTTGTTTCCATTAAAGAGCCAAACCAATGCAAGTTACAAGGCCAGGAGGGAAAATCGGTTAGTGTGAAGCAGAAAAGCAGAGAAATCTGTTTGTGTAGTTGATCAACCGGATTCAGAAAGTATTTCCATCCTGATATCTGCATTAAAGTCAGGGTAGTTAATCTAAACGAACAGTTATGATGAAATCAGTTCACGCTCACTTAAGCCTTTTTTTTTAAATCTTATTTAAAGGATTTTACCATAATTCATTGTAATAAATATTTGTGACCAGTGCTGTCAAAATGAGTCAAATGAGGAATTATTCAATACTGACTTATTTTCAAATTCTCCATCTTTAAAATTTCATGGTTAATCACTGTTAGCAACAAGCTGCCATCAGGAATCCCAGCGCTGTATTTAAAAAGGAGAGTCGCTAAGCTTCACAATGACGGGATTTCCTGTGCTACAGCAGCCAGCAGAGAAAAATGGTTACACCTTAAAGATTTATCTCTGAAGACCTACCTGTTCAAAAACTTAGTGTAGATTAGGAAGATGATGCTATTTTAGTTACTGCGATTGCTAAATGGTATCCTTATAGATTCATTTTTACACAAACCTTACCTGTTCCTTTATTTTATTCCTTTACCTTGCCTGTTCTCATTCTGCCAGCATGAGTCAAGTTTGTTTTCTTCAGGCCTCTTAAACGGGTTTAATTTCTATTTTTTGAAGCACTCACATTAACTAGAAAACTTGCAAAACTTTATGTAATACTCGTAAACTCCTGATGTTCACTCTCATTGAGAAAGATTCGTCATCACAAACGTTGGCAGCAGCTTTTAAAAGTTCAGTCTAGCGGTACGTGTTTTTACCCAGATTTTGTTAATTAGATGTTTTTAGGGGTTTATTTGTTTTAATGTAGGTCTGACCTGAACTACTTGTTTCTTCAAAAAACTACGTGACTAAATGGTTAGCTGTGGAAGCAGCGACATGTTTTCTAAATGAACCACTTTTTTTGCTCAGAGACTCTAAAACCCTTTTTGCTTTACTTGTTGGAAAGGATTGCACAAAACAGACRTCTGTGATTTAAAAACAAAACAACCTTAACCTGCAACTTTTTGTAACTTCTCACTGTAACGCCAGCCGTGTTTGGTTTTATGTTGCTGTTTTTATTTAACTGAGAAATGCTTTGCCTTTTTAATATGCTGACATATAGAGTAATAAAAAAAACTTGTTTAATTTTCTTTTTGGTTGAATTATATTTTCTGTATGCAATAAACTTGTAAACATAAAGTTGAAACTTCAGGTGGGGGGTGGTGTGATGAGGGTTGAACTTCAAACAGAACTTACCTTTCTTGTTTGAAAGCCTTTAGGAATGTTTGACATTTTTTCAGACCTTTATTGCAGTACTGAACGTCCAACAGACCAAACTTGCTTTAGTTGTTTTTCTTTACAGCTTTTTGTAACCTGTCTGAAGGAAATGTTGAAACTGTACACGCTGACTGAACTAAAGCTGAAGTGTGTATTTTCTGAAACTACTGTAAAATAATGAACAGCATGATAATTTTGGAAGGATTATTAGATAAGCTACCAAATATAATATAAGATTCCTAAGTTATTATAAGATAGGATCTCATTTTATAATGAAGTCAATTTGAGCTGGTATCCCATAAAAGGGAAGTCATATCTTTTGAGTGTATGTAATACTAAGTTAACATGAAGTATCTCAAACACACAGTAAAATCCTTAGTGGTTCTGAGATAGCATCATTATGAGATTCTAAAAACATTTTCGATATAATTATGTGATGCTATTACGAGAAATCTCACACATAATGTAAAATCCCAAGTGATCATGAATTGACATCTTTGAGATTGTAGATAAATATAAGATGGTAAGGCACAAAATGTCAAAATTAAAAATGCTAAGTTGTGATCCATAAATATGACATGATCCACAATTATGAAACTATATCTTGCCATAAGAAGTCATAATTTTGAGAATATCATTATGTGAAGCTAAGTCAATATGAGATAAAGAAAAAAATTGTATAGGTCTTCTGGACGGGTTCTTCTCTAATGAAACGTTTCGTCTCTCCTCCAAGAGACTTCTTCAGTCTGAGAGTTT